TACACGGTAGGAATCTAATATCCATTTATGATTAAGGTTTTGCCCATTTTTCAGTGGGAGTGGTAATACTCATTGATGAGTGATTTATCGTACCCATTTATTAGTAACTGTTAGAAGCTAATGATTAATTGATTTACCTATTTTAGAATTACCTATACTTCACATCAGAACCTCATTTCCTTCAATTACTACTCCGTCGCAGCACACACCTTATATGGATCGCTAACCTTTATTTAATTTCAGCATTTTCGACATTATAATCAAAAGATGAGTTTTAAAAGTAAAATTACCATGCATATAGATAAGTTAATGTACCAGAACCTGGACGGACACGAGCCTACCCAGGGGAGGACCCGGATACGACCACCCATGTGTGTCTAGAGTATCGCACGAGCTGACGAGTGTAACGGGAAGGCCAGTAGGTGTATAGACTAGGGGGTTGGTCCCTAGATAAGCCTTCTTAGCGGAAGGCACAGCCTATGCACTGAACAATTACAGGGCTGTTACAACAGGTGCGCATTTCGCGAATTTCGCGGATTTGTCGTGGATTTGAACTTTCAGTCGCGAAAATCGCGGAAACATTAAATGATGTCGCGAAAATCGCGAAGGGACTGATGTGCTGTCACAAAAATTGTGGAATTCATTGTCAAATCATAAACGAATTGTATATATGCGGGTAATTTGCCATGTATACCGGATATTATAGGTTCTCCAAATCGTCCTGGAGTTCAGTTGATTTGTTCAACTATATAAACCAAGACTGCAATAATGTATGTAGTATCGGAATATGTCCAAACAGATTCAAAGTGTCTATGTGGATTGTGCCCGACCTATTGCTTCGTATACAAGATGTTATAGGTTCTGAAATCATTCTGGAGATCAGATTATGTGTCTACTAAATCACCCAAGCCTAATTCAATATCTGTAGTTTCGAAATATGTACAAATAAATTTGCAGTGTCTATGTGGATCATGTCAACCTATATTCGTGTATGCCAAATATTTCCTAAGGATTTCCATATCGATATTTCGATACTACAGATATTATTCCAGTCTTTGTTTATCTCGTAAAACAAATCATCTGAACTGCAGGACGATTTGGAGAACCTAGATCATCTGGTATACGTGAACATAATTAAACAGTATCCATATATCCACTACGAATCTGTTTGGACATAATTCGATACTACAGACTGTATCCCAGTCATGGTTGATCTAGTAGAATAAATCATCTGAACTCCAGAACGATTTGGAGAACTTAAAACATCTGGTATACATGGCAATAGTTCATGCATGATTCACATAGACACTGTGCATCTTTCTGGAAATATTTCGATATTAAAGACATTGTCCCAATCTCGGTTGATCTAGTAGATCAAATTATCTGAACTCCAGGACGATTTGAAGAATTTACAACATCTGGATTACTCGAAAATAGATCATGCATGATCCACATAGACACTTTGAAACTGATTGGACATTTTTCGTTACTACAGACATTATTGCAGTTTTGGTTGATCTAGTAGAAAAAATCAACTGATGTCCTGGAAAATTTGTAAAATCTATCATTTCCAGTACACATAGTAATAAGTCGTGCATGATTCACAAAGTCACATACAAATGATTCGGTTATGATTTGCCAACGAAAAGGTTCATATTAGAAATAAAAAAAATATATCATGAAAATGTCTCACCATTGGACAGACCCCAAGGAATATCTGTGTGACGTGACCACCAAGTGTGACTTATGAAACTCTGGTAATTGAATCGGTCAAAAATTGAGAAAACTATAGCCAAATTAACTACAACATTTAGGACAGCAAAATACGTCAGAGACGGAAAGGTTAACTTTCAAGAAAATTTGCATTTAAAATGAAAATGCATTTTTTAAATAATGCTTCATCAAATCTAGGCCTGTTTTATTCAATAGAAACATTAATAAACTAGGGGGCGACCCCGGCGTAGTAGTTAACATCCATACCTCTCACGCCAAAGTCACGAGTTCAAATCTCACCCCCGGGCAAGTCATAAATGACTCAAGAGTGTTAAAGTGACCATAATAATAAAAAAAAAACAATCATAAATAACTGATTTTTTTTCAAAGGTTACAAACGATACTCCTTTAGCTCAGTCGGTAAAGGCGCAGCTACAAAGCGAGTCCATGTTGGAGGCGACTTAGTTCGATTCCCGCCCGGGCCAATAATTTTTCGGGTTGGCAAATTTCTCTACTTCCTTGGGCATAGAATGGTACAGGCATAGAATGCTCTCAAATCAATGTGAAGGTACTTCAAAGAACACTAAGTTGAGAGCAGGCAAAATCTAATATGCTATATGCAATAAGCTTGAAATGCCATGTAGTAGTATACAAATGGTATTTTTAGGCAATGAAAACAGTTTTTTTTTGTCGCGGATTTGTATTTGATGTCGCGGATTTCGCGGATCAAATTTAGAAAATATTGTAACAGCCCTGCAATTACAATTACAATTACAATTACAAGATCTCTGATCAACTGCAACGAAGTTTCGTAAACTGAACACTGAACTGAACTGAACAAGTTTCTACTACATCAGCATACGTACTGCTGCTGTTTTGTTTTCTTTCAATTATTTGCTTTCCTTTTCCCTTAAGTTGCTTCTCCGGTTCCTTCCGAGCTTTCCGCTTGGGGCAGGAAAGCTTCCGTTGTCCGTCCGCCTTGCACAGAAAACAATTATCTTTGTTGCCATCATAAAAAATATTTCCTTTGCGATTGAAGAAATGTAATGACGTGGGGATTTCCTTCTTCACATCCATATATATATACCGCGTATTCCTGTATATACCTCAAAACACAAATCAGTTGGAAATTTCTCCCGGATGATGCGTTTAATTTTCCCATATTTCCCCAGCACTTTATCCAGCTCGTTGTCGGGTACTTCTGGTGGCAAGTCATACACATATTGAATGAATCATGCGACATGCGTACCTTTGCCGTCGTTCCATTCGCATAATGGAAGATTAAATCCTCCGAATCGAATGTCAGAGCATGGAGCATCGCTTCCTCAGATTTGAACTTCATGAAGAGTCCCCTTTCCTCACCAATGCGATAAACAGCTTCCATTTCAGCCGGATCCGCGTCGAGTGCTTTGGCGAAATTTACTATCCCTCCGATGTTTGGTTTGGCATCACAATGGCTGAAGCTAAACTTGATAGTGTTTTTTACTTCACACATCTTGCACCGTAGCAACAAAAGGCACCGAACTGCTAGCCACGAACAAAGAGCAACTATAATAATAGCGAGTCTCGAAAACAGGCTATCGCGTGGTTCACACCGAAATAAAAAAAACGACTGCTGCTGTAGACAGTTGTGGGACAACTGAAAAAGATTCACTCTGTTTTAATGGTTTATTCTGAAATTCTGGTGTAACAATTTGTTCCTATGGTATGGTAAATTTATTTTTCACGGTGCTCTCGTCAAATTCCCGGGTTTTTCTTTTCCCGGTTACTTTTCAAATTCCCGGATATTTCCCGGTATTTCCGGTTTTCCCGGTTCGCGGGCCACCCTGATATATTTGAATATTTTTTAATATTTCAAGAAGATAATAGGGGAAATGGCTCTAATGTTGGCCTATGGATCTAAGATTGGGCCCATCGCTAAAAATCTAAGAGAAGAGGTGACAATACGGGGGCGAAAATGAACCACTTTTCTGTCAAACGTGAACCAGCTTCTGATTGGCCGATTTCATGTGCGTAAGATAGAGAAAGAGATAGATAAAGATAGAGATAGAGATAGAAATAAAAGAGGAAAAAGCCAATTGTCACCTCTTCCTCTTAGCTAAAAATCTGCTATTTATGACTTTTAGTGACTTTTATCTAGATGACGGTAGCAATGGATATTTTTGGTCGCTATCGAAAATTTAGTTGAATTTATGTATGGGCCCAAATTAGGGGCATTTAGGCCGACATTAAATCAATTTCCCCTATTACAACAAACCTCAACCTCAATAAACAAAAAACCGTAAAGGAATGATAAATCAAACGGTAGTACTATTCCATAAATGTTTTTTTTTTGTTTACTGAAAACAAATGTTACTCAGAGAGTACTTTCAAATGGAGAAATTTCTAAAAGCGTAGGTCACTCAGTGTTTAGTGGCCTTCGATTTTAGAAATTTCCCCATACGAATGAGTAAAAGTGACTCACTCTCTGAGTAAGATTCGTTTCAATGTTGTTAATTTTATTTGGGAAGTCACTAAAAACAAATGTTTGCGAAAGAACAAGCAACAATTAAAAAAAGAAGTCTATTAAGCACAACCCGCACATAGTCTTTCTTAATCTAGCGCAGTTTAGCACCAAACAGAATGTTATTATTACTGATGGCTTCCAAATTTATTTACCTTTCCATATGTACCGTAAGATTTGATAAAGAGAAACCAATCGTTGAGATATTGTCAAAAGTCTAACACTGCTTCTTAACGCCAAACTCGGCCTACTGATTCTAAACTCAGCCTAACGGATTGAAACGCCATTGAAAGGCCAATGAATTCACTTCGGCCTATCGAATGAAGATAAAAATTGATTCTGTTAGAGCGCTTCTTTTGTTTTTGGGAATAATGGGTGCAAACTTTCATATCACATGTTCTCATTGATTTCGTTTTGAAGCTTATTAACTAAAGTATCGTACCAAACGCATAATTGACTTGTTAACTCTGAAATCATGGCTTTATTTGAAGTTTTCTGCTCGATAGTAGTTCTCTACCCTAATCATTGATTGTAAATTAACTTCTAGTTTAAAAATCGTCATTTCAGAGCGATTATGCCAAGCGTACCAGATTTCTTAATACTGCTGTGCACGATGGTTCTCTGGCGAGACAGAGGGTTGCTGTGAGCCTGCCGATAACAGTCCAAGATAGTTGGCATAACTTAGCGAGACACAATTACCCTAATATTGATTGATGACTTCGTTATTTAATATGGATGATATGGATGTAATATCTCACTGCGGTACGATTTGTGAAGCTACATGTTTAAGTTTCAGCTAATGTAATGTTTTCCAACTCTTCCTTAGTAGAAATAATTACAATGAAAATTATGCAACACAGGGTTGCTTATTTATCGAATAACTACATTGAATTCTTTGATCAACTCTGAGCCGATTTTGGCATGAACTACATTGACTTCGGCTTGCGTTAGCGTTTTTTCCATGTGTCGGTAGACTATCCGGAAACAAAGACTAGACTTACCTGTTTTCGGGTGTTTGAACTTGTCGATTAAAGTTACCTAAACAGAGAGCATGGATTTAGTCTTGAGTTATCAAGTTATATTTGATAAAACAGTGCTTTACCTGCTCCACCATGTCGCCACCGACTGTACGCACCAAATCGTAGAAATCATTGGCTGAAAAAGTGTCCAAGCTCAATTCTTGTGGCAGCCAAAAAGATATATCATTTGCACACTGCGGATGCATTGAAATCGGTTTGTACTTGACAATTTTGTCGTCTTTGAACTGATTCAAGAATCCGCTGTCCGTACACCAAAACAGCCTTATGTCCGGTATATCGAACAGAACCATAGCCAATCGTTCTAAGCCAACCCCGAAAGCAAAAGCAATCGAGTTATCGACACCTGCTCGGTCCAGGATATCGTTTTTCGTAATTCCACAACCGAGAATTTCCAACCATTTTCCATTGAAGAAGATTTCCAACTCCCACGATGGTTGTGTGAACGGGAAGGTGGTCTCAACCCATCGGTATTCGATGTTGTCTCCGAACAAATCTTTCACCATTCCCACCAGTATACGTTTCATCTCATGTTCGCAGACTTTTACCGCTTCCAGCGTATGACAGGGTTGCTTTTGCTGGTCAATGCAGTCGGAAATAGTGCTTACGTCTTTGCTCAGGTGAGTTTTGTAGGATGTTTCGAAGACTTTCAGCTCGGGAGTCCGTTCAAAAAGCTTATCCTGGTGAATGATTCTAACGGCATCCATCTGATGGAAAACCGGATAATGGGTGGCATCAATTTCATCACGCCGATAGACGTCTCCTACCACAAGAAAGTTGTCCAAACCAGCCTGAATTAGCTCGACCTGTGTTCAAATTCAATATCTTTAATTAATGAAACAGATAAAAACAAAAACAATACCGCTAAGTACCTGATGGGCAGTTGTGTGTGCTCGCAGAAGATAGTCTTTATTAATATAATAGCAATCACTTTTTGCTCGGCTGGGATGATCCTTTGGAATCAGCAAATTATCAAAATTCTGCTCGGTAGAAACCACTGGGCTGAGATTATCATAAACACTGAATAAAGGGTTTCCTCGCGGGTTCAAGTAAGCACCGTAGAAATATTTAACAATCCGCTTACGGATAATCGACAGCGGATGATTGTGTTTGAGATGCAGATTCCGATCTAGGTGGGAAATAATCTTCGGTGTGATGTTGGTCCATGAATCTCGTTCGTACTTCTGCCGGTACAGGTCAATAGTTTTTTCGCTTATATTGGCCTGGCTACTCAAAAATCTTGGTTTTACATTTTGAAATAGCAGTGCTGGACGCACCGGTAGTTTTCTTATGAAGAACATTCCTGGAGACTATTGAAAACAATCAACTTTTAGGAAAATAACTCGCACAGATTTTACTCAGCAGTTTCATAACACGCGAATCAAAATAAACACAAACACAAATTCAAAAGGGCCTATATGTGACTGCTGCTAAACGAGCAGGAAAAAAAGTCGAGCAAGATTTCTTTGTTCGAGCTGCACTTAGCGCCATCTGTTTGTGAAAAAAATAATTATTAAAAGCTATACACGGCGAATGAGAACGACCCAAATTTAAGTTTAGTTCACTCATAATCGCCAAAAGTGCAGGAACCACAGAGAACAGACGTTGAAGCTCGGTCAGAAACTTGTGTAAAATAAGTGGGAACGTCGCCGTTACGTGGGGTTAGCATCTCCTGATTTTCTCTATAAATTTTCCACTTTCAACCAATTTGGCGCTAGTATCGATAAATTTTCTGTTGAAAATTGCCACTTGGCGCTACTAGCACTTAGTGTCTAGTGTAATTTGTGCAACGCCAGCGCCATCAGAATGTCAAAGAGAGTTTTTAAGTGGGGAAGTCGCCGTTAGTGGCGCTTAAGTCGAATAGGAATCTTTACACAAGTTTTTAGAGAAATTTTGTGCGAGCCTCCATGTCTGTTCTCTGTGCAGGAACTCAGCGATAAGTAAAATTTGTCTCATGGTTTCCTGTGGAAAACCTAACAAATCTGCCGGAAAATGAGAAAATTGACAAAAATTTTATTCAGTCTCGGAGTAGTTTTCATCAATACGGTGTGCAAGTAAAGTGGAGCAATTTTGATTGATTACCGAAAGAAGAAAGTGCTATTTTTTCAAGTGGTATTACCACATTGATAACAAACCGTAAGTAAGAACAATGCATTTCAGTAGTCCTTACAGTGGAGGATATGTAGCTACATATCCGGTGTATATAGGCGAATCCAACAGAAACTAAGCGATTGTTTCAGTCTCTGGCGGTGAACAGGGGAACCCTCAAAAGAGTGATGAGGGCGAGGGGGGTGACACATCTAAATCTCAAGTTTAGATGCACAACAAATCTCTCACTAGCGAATCAATCTTCGAAAAATCTTCTTTCATTTGTCGCATCTAATTGCATCGCGCATCATCTTTTTGCAGGAAATCTTCATAATCGTCATCAATCTTCTTTCTATCTACTCAGCGTGCGCGCAGCTAGCCACAGCAAAACACATTTTTTTCTGCATCGTAGATAGAGTCGTCCCCCTCGGATGAGGGAGGTAATTTTCACCGTGAAGCATAGGAAGAAGAAAATATTTTCACCTTTCCTGATTAATTTATCCACCGCAGGTGCTTGAAATCATCATCCACGTGGAATATTTTATTTTTTGTATCGGGTTTGCATATGCTTCCATATATTTTTGATCAGATTTATACAATTGTTCCAGCGGTTATGTTCTTCTGGCTTTTTAATATGTGGTTATTTCAGCTGTAAATCAGTTCAGATCTGTAGATAATCGAAAAATAAGACCACTTTCGATAGAAATTTGCGCGTTGTGCAATAAAATGTAAATTATTTTGAGCTTTAAAAATCGTCATTATGATCACAGAGAACAGACGTTGAAGCTCGGTCAGAAACTTGTGTAAAATAAGTGGGAACGTCGCCGTTACGTGGTGTTAGCATCTCCTGATTTTCTCTCTATAATTTTCCACTTTCGACCAATTTGGCGCTAGTATCGATAAATTTTCTGTTGAAAATTGCCACTTGGCGCTACTAGCACTTAGTGTCTAGTGTAATTTGTGCAACGCCAGCGCCATCATGTTGTCAAAGAGGGTTTTTAAGTGGGGAAGTCGCCGTTAGTGGTGCTTAAGTCGAATAGGAATCTTTACACAAGTTTACAGAGAAATTTTATTCGAGCCTCCATGTCTGTTCTCTGTGTTATGATGTAAACAAAATCGGCTAGCGAACTCTAGATTGATGGTGCATGAAAAGAGCCTATCCCGGTATGGATTTCTCCTGTGCAGGTATGGGTCCCTCCCGCAGGAGTGTCAGTCGGGTTTTGCTGCAGAACTTCGAGTGCACACCCTCTGGTGGTGAACTGAAATGAAATTTTTTTATTGTGGTTAAAGTTGATAATATTCCCTATGGCTTATACCTAACCACAGAGAACAGACATGGAGGCTCGCACAAAATTTCTCTAAAAACTTGTGTAAAGATTCCTATTCGACTTAAGCGCCACTAACGGCGACTTCCCCACTTAAAAACCCTCTTTGACAACATGATGGCGCTGGCGTTGCACAAATTACACTAGACACTAAGTGCTAGTAGCGCCAAGTGGCAATTTTCAACAGAAAATTTATCGATACTAGCGCCAAATTGGTCGAAAGTGGAAAATTTATAGAGAAAATCAGGAAATGCTAACACCACGTAACGGCGACGTTCCCACTTATTTTACACAAGTTTCTGACCGAGCTTCAACGTCTGTTCTCTGTGACCTAACTAGAACGAAATCCGACAAAAATTGACCAAATTATGGACATTTGAAAGTTTAGTGCTTTTTTTACCCCTTTTTTCTCACTTTGACCTTGCTTAAAAAATAGTAACTAACAATTTTTTTTTCATTTTAGGAATAAGCCATACAAAAAATAGTATCCTTCAAAGAGCAATTTTCCGATTGTAATCATTTTAATTTGTAATCATTTGTTCAAGCCCTATGCTCTAAGTTGTTATAAAAAATATGATTTCGAGAAAAACGCGTTTAAAGTTTTTGTAGCGTCCCTCAGCGCGCATGACAAAGGTTCACTCAAAGCGCCATAACTCGCTAAATATGTTTCGGATCGTAAAATCTTTTTGGCCACATATTCTACACACTTGTAGCTTTCATTTTATGCAAAAAAAAATCAATTTTTTTTTAAAAAATCCAAGTAAACCTCCCTTTAAGTGGAAATGTCGCCGTTACGTAGCGCTAGCATCTCCTGATTTCCTCTATAAATTTATCACTTTCGACCAATTTGGCGCTTGCATCGATAAATTATCTGCTGAAAATTGTCACTTGGCGCTACCAGCACTTAGTGTCTAGTGTAAGTTTTGCAACGCCAGCGCCATCATGTTGTCAAAGAGGGTTTTTAAGTATGGAAGTTGCCGTTAGTGGCGCTTAAATCGAATAGGAATCTTTACACAAGTTTTTAGAGAAATTTTGTTCGAGCCTCAATGTCTGTTCTCTGTGATTCTACCGTCGAATTTAGTCAGACTGCACCAGATGCATCGACATGTCCTTCAGCTGTAGGTTCTTTCTCAGGCATTCAGGTTCCAGTATCGGAGCCTGTAATCTCGAATCATTTGACTCATTCCGCTCGGCCTCCTTTGGCCTCCACGCATACGCTGGGACCAATATATGTACGTGAGGGAGGTCAGGTCAAACTTTAACTAATAAATACAACAGCGGTGTATTCAGCTTTTGTTTCATCCTCAAAAATCGGTATTGTAGTAACAAAAAACCGCATGGTTGATGGTTCAAGCTCGGACATTCGGGTTCCGGTATCAGTACCTGCGATTCTGAGATATACTGTTCAGCATCCTTGTTCCGTTGGATGTATGCAAGTTGGATGCTGCAAGTTTTGTCGGATTGGATCAAATACCACCAAACACCTCGACAGTGTCTTCAACTGCAGGTCCATCCACGAACATTCGAGTTCCAGTATCAGAACCTTTTTCTGCGAGCCTAGACACAAGTTCTGTTCAACCTTTTTCCTCCTCGTGGGTGCAGGATCAAGTTGTGAATAGATTGACACAGGAAAAATGTACAGTGTCATCAGTTACTAGTTTATCCTCCGACATCCGGCTTCCAGTAACGGATCCTGTAATTCATCCTCCTTGTTCCGCCGTTTTAGGACGGGATCCAATATCGATTCGGTCAACGCAAACCACAGTTTCTTCGGTTGTTGGTTCTATCTCGAACAATCGGGTTCCGGTGTTAGTACCTCCGATTCTGGGACATTCTGTTCAGCCTTCTTGTTCCATCGGGCAGCATCCAAATCCTGTCGAATCGTGCCAAATACCGTCAACTACATCAACAGTGTCTTCAGCTGCCCCTCCGTCCATGATCATTCGCGTTCCAGCATCAGAAACTGTTGCTACGAGACCAGTTGAACGTTCAGTTCAGCTTTCTTGTTTCTCCTTGTGGATGCAGGATCAAACTATGGATATATTAGGTCAAATTGCACAGGAAAAACTGACAGTGTCATCAGTTACTTGTTTATCCTCAGAAATTGGGCTTCCAGTAACGGATTATGTGATTCCGAATCCAGCTCAGTCTTGTTTCATTTCGGTCAAAGATCCAATGTTGCTTAGCTCAGGACAAACTGCAACAAACACATCCATAGTGTCTTCAACTTCATGTTCCATTGAAGGTCCGAAGGATCCAATGTCGGTAGGGTGCAACAATATTGAATTTTTGAAAGAGTAACTTTGTTCAGCTCTTCTAAATTCCCGGCACTAAATGTAACGATCGAAGATATCAATTCATTAAATCATAGAGAAATGTTAACTAGTGGTTGCCTGGAAGTTTGTCTACAAATTTTAATTACACAAACAGATAATATTAAGGTGCTAAATATTTTTGAGTCAAAGGTTTTTTTGTCAGCTTCAGGTGGTGTGTATGACGAGTCTCTCGTTCTTGATTCGCTAAACAAAGATATTTTACTGATTCCATGGTACGAAAATATGCATTTTTATTTAATAGTTTTAGATTTACGGTTTAGCGTAGGTCCACCGTTGCATAATTGGCAATGCACCCGTGTACTGAATGTGAATTGTGGGTTCGAATCCCACCGGTGCCCTTAGATTTTTTCGCAAATTTTCTCACACACACGTCTCTTACCGATGATATGTGCTTACCTCTCAGTATGTTCAAACTTTCCTATAAACAATTAAATTGACTGCAAAGTCGCTAAACCGTAAATCAAAAAGTTTTAGATTTATAAAGCAAAACAATGTATTACATAAATACAAATATCTTACCTGATTACCAAAAACATGCTCGTAGTAAATTGAATCTTTTTTTAACGTCGATGATCATCGACCTGTTACAGAACTACAACATTCGTCTGGAGTAGCTTTACTTCAGCCATGACTCTATTTT